ACATTCGTGGTCTGCCCCAAGAGAATGGTCTGCCAAGGGTACGTAACTTCCCTGCGTGCCACCCTCACATCCACCCTTATTCCAAAACCAAATACCGATATGGGTTCAAATAATCCCCATGCCAACTTAGGGTTTCACAACACAATTTACTTAAAAATTATTAAAAATCAGGGCTAACCCTGCATACCCGGTATTAATCCTCTATCAGTAACATTATTCATTTAGATTAATTCATAGATCAAACCCATAATCTAAAAATTTATCGTGAAACTAGACTTCTCAAATTTCATCTTTTAGTTAGAAATTACCAGATTTGGTTTAGTATATAATTTTAAATAAATTTTCAAATACATAGTAAAATCTGTCTCACAGTTTCAGATTTAGTTAAAAATTTGTATAAATTCGTAGAAAGCTCAAAAATTGTTGCCAAAATTCCTGGATGAACTAGACATCATCATCAACAACTTTGTAAAAGAAATAATCTCGAAATTTTGAGTATAAAATTGTCTAAAAATTCGGGTAAACATGCTGATAGATTCAAAACAGATTATTCTCAACACAGTTTCAGATTTAGTTAATTTTTTATATAAATTCGTAGAAAGCTCAAAAATTGTTGCCAAAATTCTTGGATGAACTAGAAATCATTATAAACAACTTTGTAGAAGAAAGAATCTCGAAATTTTGAGTATAAAATTGTCTAAAAATTCGGGCAAACATGCTGGCAGATTCAAAACAGATTATTCTCAACACAGTTTCAGATTTAGTAAAAATATTTGTATAAATTCGTAGAAAGCTCAAAAATTGTTGCCAAAATTCGTGGATGAACTAGACATCATTATCAACAACTTTGTAGCAGAATTAATCTCGAAATTTTGAGTGTAAAAGTGTCTAAAAAGTCGGATAAACATGCTGGCAGATTCAAAACAGATTATTCTCAACATAGCTTCAGATTTAGTTAAAATATTTGTATAAATTTGTAGAAAGCTCAATAAATGTTGCCAAAATTTCTGGATGAACTAGACATCATTATCAACAATTTTTTAGTAGAAATCATCTTGAAATTTTGAGTGTAAAATTGTCTAAAAATTCGGATAAACATGTTGGCAGATTCAAAATAGATTATTCTCAACACAGTTCAGACAATTTATCATATATAATCTGAAATTTTCAAATATATAAAAAAAAATGAGAGGATTGAGAGGGTTTTTTTTACTTAATAGTAGGATTCAAATGGGTAATGAAGTGGTAGAAAAATTTTGCTTCCTTAACCTTCCCCTCTTATTTTCCTTCTACTGAATCTCTCCTCACCCGTATATACTCCTTCTTTTGTTTGTATGTGTCCATGAACTAAGTCTACCTATGATATATATAGGCAGATCTCTCCCTCTCTCTTTCTCTCTCTCTTCATGATGTTATTCCCTGCTATAAACTTCACTCTACCCAAAAGCCATCATTTGGTGGAATTCACCAGGCTAACATGCAAGTTAGCATGTGGCATACCCTTTCTACCGAATTTGATTCTCCTATTTTTTTTTAATAATAATTTATAACAATAATTATTGAACATCAATACCTTATTATTCTTAATAAGGTCTTTGTTAGTGATAGAATTGGGTTAATTTAAAACTAATTTTTTTTTTCACTATTCTATATTTTAGGTAGGTTCTAAATAACATTAATTAATTAATTAATTAATTTTCTTTTAAGAATAATTTAAATATGGGTTTTCACAAGTTGGCTTCTGCATAAAAGGCAAGTGCAGAAGGAGGTACGAAGGAGACGCCGCACGTGCTGGGATGAGTGCCGCATGTGCGGGAGGCAAGCTCTGCACGTGCGAGAGACACTGAGTCCGAAAATCCTACTTTTCTCTCTTTTTGGGCTGTGTGTGTATCACTTTTTATATACCTCTCTCTCTCTCTCTAAAAACCCCTTTTCTCCTCATTTTCTTTACATTTCCTACCCCAAACAAGATCAACACCTTGATTTCCTTAGATCCATTGAAGTTTTGACCCAACATCCTTCATCAAAGTTGGAGAGCTAACTGAGAGTTTCATCTTGTGCAGTGGAGATTGGATTTCTACACTGTCAAATTTGGGGGTTTCTTATCTCTTCTTCTCCGAAGCTTGAGGTAGGGATTTTCTTAGAGTTATATATATATATATATATATATTTACAAGTTTATGTTGATTTCGAAGATTTCCTTTGGTGGCATTGAAAATTTGGTTTTTGGCTCAAGAATGTTGGTGGCTTTGAAAGTGGGTTCATCTCTTGTTCTCTTTAAATGATTTTCTTGAGGATTTGAATCACATTGTTTGAAGAAAAATATTTTTGGTGAGATTCCTTCAAGAGATGAGGGAATGTCAAGTTTTGATGAAAAACCTAGAAATTGGGGGGTTTTGGAAGATGTTGAGAATCTATGGATTTTCTTTGTGCCAAATGAATGAATGAGTGGAAAAATTCATATTATCATATACAAAATGACAATTTTGTTGGTGTATGAACATTAATGGATTTTTTTTTTGAATTTATTGTTAAAGTGTATATATAGATATATTCATGAAATGACAAATTGTTGAGAATCCATGAGATGTGGAAATGTTGCTACACTTGGATAGATGTAAATTCATATGTGATATATGTTGAAATGGCATTGGAAAGGGAAATGGAAATTATGATGACGAATGGAACAAATGTATGGAAATTTTGTTAATAGGAGGATGTTGCATTGCATGGACAAATATTGCATTGCATGGATAACTGTTATATTGGCATTTCAATACTTTTGCTCGTTACAAATATTGAATTAGGATTTGAAACCTTGCATTGGTAAGAGAATGTTGTGAAATAAGATGGATTGAAATAATTTTTGGGGTAAATACGTTGGTAAGTCTGGATGGGAGGTGTAGGTGAAATTGATTAAGTTGGCCAGAGTGTCTAGGGTGAAAGACCGAAAACACGTGCGAAGGAGGTATCACGTGCCTTTCGGTTAGCCACCAGTAAAGTGGGGATTTGGTAGTGCTAGTCATGCCTACTTGCAGACATCGACCTAGGGATTACCGGAGTCGTATTTACCGCCTCGTAATCTTGGTTTAAAGTCTATGAATTTATTGAAATTTCAAGTTTTCATTGTGCATGTTGGTTTTCAAATGATAAAAAGGAATGATACCTTGCATAACATAGCATGTACCCTTCATTTCATGGAACTTATATAAAATGTATATACTTTGTTAAGAATTTCCTACAAGGCTGTATGCTCTAGGGCTGAGCAAGGAATCTGTGAAATCCATAATCCGATCCAGTACAGTCCAATCCAGTAGGTTTGGATTGGTTTTTTGAATCCGTGGTTCGGTTCCGGATTGAAAAATTAAAAATCCGTAATTCACAGATTGGTTCCGGATTGAACTCCACGGTTCCGGATTGGAACCGATCCGGACCGTATACAAATAGTCTATATTTTTATTATACACCCTCCTGCATAGCAACTTCTTTGATTTCATATAAAATTTAAATCCAAACCTAAACTTACATAGTATCTTCTTTTATTATTTTTGTTTGCTAGTTTTTAGTGTTAATTTGTAATGATCTAAATACTTATAGTGGAACTAGTTTTCTTATGGTTGTTTAAATTGTAGAACAGTTTGTCGCTATTATAAAAAGACATGTTGCTATTGTGAAACTAATTTGGTGCTATATTTATATTTTTATGAAATTAAAGTGTTATATATATTTTTTTGTTATTTAATTATGTAATACTTGGTCCTAAACCGATCCAATCCGTGTTTAAATGGATTGGTTCGGATTGGTTCCACGATTTAAACGGATTGGATTGGTTCCAATTTTTCAGGATCCGTAGATAACGGATTGGTCCTGGTTTTACTTCAATCCGGTCCAATCCGGACCATGCTCACCCCTATTATGCTCACCCTATGGGATTTTGGTACAAGAAAAGATGTGGCTATCCCACCGAGTTAGGGTGTGGATGTATATGTTGAGAGCACAAGGCTCTTATTTTTGTTGTGGTATATTTTGCTAGCCAAGGGCTAAAATTGTATGGGTTCGAGAGACCATTTTTGTGTAATTGGGCTTAAGCTTTGGAATTTGTAAGCCCATGAGGGTATTTATTTATTTTTGGATTGAGGGTTCTACATGCTATAGATTCATGTACTAGGAATCATTAAATGTATATTCACATGTGAAATAATTTTGTATGATCCTCATGATCAAGTAATGTAAAGGTTGGAGAATTGTTTCTTTTCTTATAATGAATGTTGGTTGATGTACCTTTATGGTGTTATAAAGTTAGGGCGTTACAACTTGGTATCAAAGCTACCGGGTTTGAATACTTGGGGCTCGTGGGAGATGGTTGTTTTACCACAAGGGGTTTATTTCGCATGATTAGAAGATATTGCATATTTTGTGGTTATGTGATAACATGCTTATATGACTGAATGGGTAAGGGATTGGACATTTGGGATGTTGTTTGTGCCTATTAAATTCCTAGAGGTCTTATTAGAAGGGTACTTGATCAATACTTGTTCTACTAAGAATTTTTGGTTTTTCGTGGGACAAATTTCATCATAAAAGAATAATCTGTATGTGCTTACATGACTAAGTGCTTATATGGAGTGAAATTAAATTGTTTGTATGGTACAGAAATATATAAAATTGTTGTGGTTAAACGTGTGAGGCAAGTTACGAGCACATATGGATTCATGTGCTAAATTGTTTCTCTTGTCCCTTAATTAGGATGTCAAGAAGGGGTCAAACCCGTGGTGGTAGAGGCGGGAGGCGCAATAGGCTTCGCTGAGGTGTACATGAAGTATCGGTCCATGAGGTTCCAGCGCAAGAAGAAGGGTTGGGCCAAACTAATGCGGCCGGGCAAGCGGGCCAAGCTAATATGGCCAAGCAAGTGGGGCAAGCGGAAATTCTGGAGCAAACGGGCCAAGCCGTAATGGGGGCCCTAGCCCGAGAAATGACAGGGGCTTTGAGAATCGATAAACATGTTGAGGGTGGAGAACCTAGCCCGAGAGAATACCGTAGAAACAAAGGAGAGTTTTCTCACTAGGAAATTTTTGCGGGCCAAACCGGATAAGTTCCATGGTGGCCCCGAGCCCAAGAAAGCGGATGAGTGGAAGGAGCAAACGGTGAAAACATTCGAAATGCTTCACACTGAGGATAACGAGCTAAGGGTGACTCTAGCGAGTTACTATCTCAAGGGGGATGTGGGCCAATGGTGGAAGTACGGCAGTGGTAAAGTGGAGCCGACATGGAAAGCCATTGTGGTTGCTTTCCCAAACAAGTATCTACCTCCCACTGCTAGGGAGAGGTTGAGGCAAGAATTTCAAGACCTCAAGCAAGTTAATATGTCCGTGGTCGAGTTTGAGATGGCCTTCTCTAGTTTGTCCCGGTTTGCACCGGAGTTAGTGGCAACAGAAGAGTGCCATTGCATTGAGTTTGAGAAGAAGTTGAGAACTAAGATCTTATTCAAGGTTGCCGAGAATATGATCCAGAACTATAACCATCTTGTGAAGGTGGCGGCACATGTGGAGATTACGGTACAAGCCGAGGAGGAAAGGATTCAGGATTCGAGGTCTAGAGGCCAAGAGTCACAGGGAGATTTTAGACCCAGTAAGAAAAACAGGGGAACTTTTCCATCTCAATCCCAATCACAACAGTCTAGATCTACCTTTCCCTTGCCTAGTGCGGGCCCGGGAAAGAGCGCACCGGGTAATTTCCCGTGTTTCAAGTGTGGCCAACCAGGTCACAAGGCCTTTTCTTGCCCACAGAAGGGGGGAGGACAGTAGATGTTGCCACCGCCACCATTGGTCTCAGAATCAGCCTCAGAATAGAGGGCAAGGACTTAACTGTTTTCAGTGTGGTCAGTCCGGGCATATGAGGAGAGCTTGCTCGCAGTTGGGAGGCGCATCAGGATCGAGGCAGACACAGAGCCACCGGCAAGCTTACTCAGTTCAGACTTCACGAACTAATCAAGGAGCCGCTTTGGCGCACTTAGTGCAGCAGGCCTATGCTTCGAGAGAGGAGAAGGTTGATCAAAGACCACAGGGGCGCGTGTATGTTGTTACTGCGCTAGAGCAGTTACCAGGATCCTCAGTTGCAAGAGGTATTTTTGTTGTGTGTTATTCTTTGGCTAATGTGTTGATAGATACAGGTGCGTCTCATTCATTCATATCTACTGCATTTTCTTTTGCATTGGGGTAAGAAGTGGCACAGTTGGTGTCTCCGCTCACAATAGAGTCACCAGTTGGGGGTACGGTTGAATTAGACTGAGGATGTCATGGTTGTGAGATAGAGGTTGCCTGGCGTCAACTTCCATTTGCTTTTGTGTTACTAGACATGTCGATTTTTGATGTCATTTTACGCATGGACTGGTTATCTTCATATCGAGCTTTGATTGATTGTTACCGTCAGAAAGTTAAGGTGTGCACCTCGAGTGGTGATTGTTTTTATTTTCTGGGGGACCGGGTTGATAGGGTCTTGTCACCAATTTTTGACCCTCCTAGTAGGAGCAAACTTAGTGGCCTTCTCGCAACTCTCTTGGATAGTGAGAGTGACGGGGCCCATATTGAATTGCCAAGGATAGTTTGTGAATACCCGAATGTTTTTCCCGAGGATCTTACTAGTTTGCCACCCCACTGGGAGATCGAGTTCTCCATTGACTTAGTGTCTGGTACGACATCGATTTCTATGGCATCGTATAGATTTGCATGTGCCGTACAGATTTGCACCCACCGAATTGCATGAGTTGAAGATTCAACTCCAAGAGCTTCTAGACAAGGACTTTATTCGCCCTAGTACATCGCCTTGGGGAGTGCTGGCTCTCTTTGCGAAGAAGGATGATGGATCATTGTAGTTATGTATTGATTACCGCAAGTTGAACCAGGTTACCATTAAGAACAAGTATCCTCTTCCTAGAATAGATGATTTATTTGACCAACTTAGAGGGTCTCGCTGCTTTTTGAAGATAGATTTGAGGTCAAGGTATCATCAGTTGAGAGTCTGGCAGGAGGACATCTAGAAAACGGCCTTTCGCACATGTTATAGCCACTATGAATTTCTTGTAATGCCTTTTAGATTGACTAATGCACTGGCTTCCAGTATGGACTTGATGAACCTAATTTTTCTAGAATTCTTGGATCGCTTCGTAGTCGTCTTTGTGGATGACATCTTAATCTATTCAACCTCTGAGGAGAAACATGAGGCTCACTTGCGGGTAGTGCTTGACTTGCTTTGGGAGCACCGATTGTATGCTAAATTTCAGAAATACGAGTTTTGGTTAACCGAGGTGAAGTTTTTGGGGCATGTGGTGTTGAGGGAGGGAGTAACTGTGGACTCCTCGAAGATAGATGTCGTATAGGATTGGGAACAACCCCAAAATGTTTTTGAGATCCGGAGTTTCCTGGGATTGGTGGGGTATTATCGATGTTTTGTAAAGGACTTCTCTAGACTAACCGCGCCTTGACTAGATTGACTAGGAAGGGTGTCAAATTTGTGTGGAGTGAAGCTTGTGAAAAGTCATTCCAAGAACTTAAGAGAAGATTAACTACCACACCGGTCTTGATAATCCCAGAAAGAGGTTTGGGCTACACCGTTTATTGGGATGCATCTCAGGATGGGCTTGGTTGTGTCCTGATACAAGTGGGAAAGGTTGTGGCCTATGGTTTGCGACAATTGAAAACTCATCAGAAAAACTACCCCACCCATGATTTGGAATTGGAGGCGATAATTTTTGCCTTGAAAATTTGGAGGCATTATTTGTATGGTGAAAATTTTGAGGTTTTCTCCGATCATAAGAGTCTAAAGTATTTGTTTTCTTAAAAAGACTTGAATTTACGCCATCGGAGGTGGATGGAATTCATGGAGGATTACGACTTTGAGTTACACTACCATCCGGGGAAAGCTAATGTGGTAGCCGATGCTTTGAGTTGGAAATCTGTGAGTAGTTTGGCAAGTGTGGCCATTTGAGAATGGGTTATGCTAGGTGATATCGGCAAGTTTGATTTATGCTTGGGTGAGTCTGGTGAGAGTGCAACCTTGTTTACCTTGAGTGCTTAACCTACCTTGATTAGTAAAGTCATAGAGGCACAACAAAGGGACCGTGAAGTGGAGTCAATTCGAGATAGAATTTCCAATGAGAAGGAAGAGAAGGGTTTGAATATTCACTCGGATCTAAGTGTACATTATTTAGACCGTTTGTTTGTGCTAGAATCTTGTAGAGAGGACGTACTTCAGGAGTTCCATCACTTGCGCCTTGCGGTACATCCGGGAGGCACCAAAATGTGTCATGATCTTAGTCGTCAGTTTTGGTGGAGGGGTATGAAATGGGATGTCGCTTTATTTGTATCGAAGTGCCTTACTTGTCAACAAGTGAAGGCTAAACATCAAAGACTAGCGGGCTTGCTACAACCCTTACTGATAGCCGAGTGAAAGTGGGAGCATGTTACTATGGATTTTGTAGTTGGGCTTCCTAGAACACAGCGAGGCAATGATACCGTTTGGGTGATTGTTGATAGGTTGACTAAATCTACGCATTTCATTCCGATGCACACCGGCGACTCAGTTGAGCATTTGGCAAAGTTGTATATTAGAGAGATAGTTCGACTTCATGGGGTTCCTGTAACCACTGTATCAGATAGAGATCCTCGTTTTACTGCCTGGCTGTGGCAAAGCGTTTAAGAGGCGTTAGGAACTAAGTTGACTTTTAGCATCATTTACGACCCTCAAACCGATGGACAGTCGGAGCGCACCATTCAAATTTTGGAGGACATGCTTAGAGCTTGCGTCCTTGATTTCAAGGGGTCTTGGGAGAGACACTTACCATTGATTGAGTTTGCCTATAATAATAGTTATCAAGCTAGCATTAAGATGGCACCATTCGAGGCCTTGTATAGCCGACCTTGTAGATCACCGGTTTGTTGGGCCGAGGTAGGTAATGCACCGTTGTTGGGTCCAGAAATTGTTAGAGAGACAACCAAGAAAGTTGCTCTCATTTGAAAGAGGTTAGGTACGGCCCAAAGCCAACAGAAAAGTTATGCTGATAAGAGAAGGCGACCCCTAACTTTCGAGGATGGGGATCATGTGTTCCTTAAGATCTCACCAAGACGAGGTTTGATGAGATTTGGTAAGAGTGGTAAATTGTCTCCGAGGTTCATTGGGCCTTTCGAGATATTGGAGAGAATTAGGAAAGTGGCATACCGGTTGACTTTACCGCCATAACTTTCAGGGGTTCACAACGTGTTTCATGTATCTATGCTTAGAAAGTATGAGCCCGACCCTTCTCATGTACTTGATTGGGTTGATTTAGAGGTACATGAGAATACCTTTTACGAAGAGTGACTAATTCAAATACTGGATACCCCGGAGCAAGTGCTACGGGGCAAATTATACCGCTGATTAAGGTGTTGTGGAGACACCATGGGGTTGAGGAAGCAACGTGGGAACGGGAGGTGGAAGTCCGCTCCAAGTATCCAAATTTATTTGAAAATGCTTAAGTTTTTTTCCTTTGTAATAATTCCCTAGTGTTTCAGGGAAATGTGTTAAAATTGTTAGCCGAGTGTTGTTGTGTATATTGTTGTTTCAAGCATGAGGTTGTTATGGGTCGTTACTACTTTTATTGAAAAACTTCAAGCTTATGCTTATTTTGGATGGTTGTAGCTAATGAGGTAACCATGATGATAATGGTGAATTTTGGTGAAAATAGATGTTGTGATTTGAGAATTTAATAGCGTGGTTTTGATCGCTGGAAACCCATTTATTTGAGTAGTTTGACTTAATTTCGGGGACGAAATTTCCTATGGTGGGGAGGTTGTGATGATCGAGTACGTTATTCGTCTCGTTCCTCTTTATTTAACCTTGGGTTGCCTTGTTGGAGTGTCGGGTTTAGCTAGGAGTCTTGCTAACGATTTGGGTTGTTGTGTTTGGGAGCTTATTTCAAAGTCTTTGCTTTTATTTATTTCTGTGTCTAGTTTCTCGTGTTTTGAAAGGTGCGAGGTTGGGTCCGAAGTGTCTAGAGTTGAGTTGAACAAATTTCTTGGCTGGAGGGCAGAGCCGTACGTGTGGGGCCTTAGGCTGCACTTACGGGAATGGGGCTGCACGTACGGGATGTACGGCCGTATGTGCGGGAGACAGGGGAGGACCTGGGTTGGCTTCTGCATAAAAGACAGGTGCGGAAGGAGGTACGGAGGAGACGCTGCACATGCGGAGATGAGTGCTGCACGTGCAGGGAAGAGTGCCGCATGTGCTGGAGGCACGCTCTGCATGTGCGGGAGACGCTGAGTTTGAAAATCCTGTTTTTCTCTCTTCTTGGGTTGTGTGTGTATCACTTTTTGTATTGCTCTCTCTTTCTCTCTAAAAACCCCTTTTCTCCTTTTTCTCTCTACATTTCCTACACCAAACAAGATCAACACCCTGATTTCCTTAGATCCATTGGAGTTTTGACCCAACATCCTTTATCAAAAGTTGGAGAGCTAACCGAGAGCTTCATCTTGTGCGGTGGAGATTGGATTTCAACACCGTCAAATTTTGGGGTTTCTCTTCTCTTCTTCTCCAAAGCTTGAGGTAGGGGTTTTCTTATATATATATATATATATATTTACAAGTTTATGTTGATTTCGAAGTTCCTTTGGTGGCATTGAAATTTTGGTTTTTGGCTCAAGAATGTTGGTGGTTTTGAGGGTGGGTTCATCTCTTGTTCTCTTTAAATGATTTTCTTGAGGATTTGAATCACATTGTTGGAAGAAAAATATTTTTTGGTGAGATTCCTTAAAGAGATGAGAGAATGTCTAGT